TTTTGCCATCATTTAAATTTTTTAATTAGTTCATAATTATACAACTATGTTTTTTTTAAAAAAAAGAAAAAAAAAAAGAAAAAAAAGCATAACGTGTTAATTTATTGTTAGTTTTTTATTTGTATGTCTATAATGTTTTCATAAGAATGATGGGGAGGTATTGTCTTTACCAAAACATTACGACGAATAAAGTTCTGCACGAAATACCACAAATACAACAACTATTTTTTTTTCATATATCACGTACGTTAGTTATAATTTAATATTTTGTTCTTATTATTTCATAAGAATTCTATCAATGTGTATTTCTAACAAAATAACGTAAATTATGATTCTCATAAATTTAGTACAAAATAAGTGTTGGTTATTGATCTAAACGTTGTCGGCGGACATCTTGATTGTTACCTTAATATGATTTAAAAAAGTACAAAATAAAAATTTGAAAGTATATTATAAAATACTATTTTGACAAATATAGACATTTATATTTTTATTTTTCTACTTTTAGATGGACATTTATTGTCACAGTTTGCATATATATAAAAAAAATAGATGATTTAATGTTTGAACATGACATATGAACTTGGTTTCATTTACGGGTAAAAAATAGACTAATATTTCGGAATGATGTAATGAAAGAACAAAAAAGAAATGACAACTGAAAAGGTGAGGGTGTCTCAACCATAAGTGATAGAAAGAATGACAATATGATGTTAATTGTAAAGACTGAATAAAACAATATATATTTATTATTCAAAATTATTTAATGGAATGTTTGTAATATATTAGGCCTTTTATAATGGTTTTGGTCCTAAATGATTGAATAGTTTGAGCCCAAAATACATAATATTTTTTATTTATTTTATTTTTAGTTGATATCATTTGTTCATTTATACTTAAATTTGAAGTAGCCTACAAGTTTCTGACTAAAGTAACTGCCTAAATATTAATTTCTTTATTATTCCCCAATTATGCAACTATAATTTTTATGAATAAAATTAGCATAATGTGTTAACTATTGGTAAATTATTGTTATTATAACACATGTTATTTTTTCGTAAGATAATGAGAAAAATATATTTATCGTTACTGAATCCTTGCAATAGATAAAGTTCAATACTATTTACTATAATGCATCAACTAATTATTTTTACCATATATCATAAATGTTAGTTTTACCAGAATAAATTTTAGTCTTTTACAATTTATATAGCATAATTTAAATGTCTTTTATTATCATTTTACAAAAATTCTATCAATGTCATTTCTAAAAAGTATATCAATTTACATTCCGCGTGAATTACGTGAAAAAAAATAAAATTGTTATTGACATGAACATTAAGGTGATCCATCTTGCACGTGCAAACAATTATTTTGCACATTTGTAAGTTTACAAAAGGTGATCCATCTTGCACGTTACTCTATTCACAATCGGAATTATTTTGCACCTAAATGAAATTGAATTATTCTGCCGATTAAAAAAAGTGAAAGACATGTGGACCTAATTTGAAACTAAATGCACGCGGTTAAAATTGAGTAATTTTTTTTTTCTTAGGTATTTAATTTATAACTTTAATTTTAATTGGCTCATATTTTTACATGTTATTTCAATTATTCTATATAAGCGCATATATATAATAGTAATAATGTCTTTCGTTAATCACAAATGAAGAAAATTATATTATTATCAAGACATTTTTTTTTTTTCTTCAAAGAGTGTCATCAATGTAACAAATACTAATTATCATTGACTATCACAAATATTTTGTTTAAGTTAAATTTATTTCATTTGAAAATATTTGTGGTAAAAAACATATGTTAGTTTATAGAAACAATCAATTATATGTTGTTGTTTCTATAATCATAATCTTTGTTGTCTCATGATTATTATTTATGAGGATAATGGTAATAATTAATATAATTGATCCACTAAAAATGTTGTATTTAGCTAAACATTTTTAAAATATAATGGATCGATTTTTTATAATAATTTTTTTTTCTCTATATATATTTTATGAAAGTTAATATTTATTTAAATTATAATTCATCCACATAATTTTTAACATCAGGCCGCGCAACGCGCGGATGACGTACTAGTGATATATAATTTGTTATAATTGGCTAAAGGAAGGATGTCAAACCGGGGGCAAACTGAGAGGAGTCCCACACATGTGAAGCGCACAACAAGAGTGTTAGCCCAAATGAAGCCCAAGTGAGGTTTCATCCCAAAACCAATTGGTGATGGGAGGAGTAGCCCACTATGCTTATAAACTAGGCTCATTTATCCTATCAAATCAATATGAGACAACTCACATGTGATATTCCAACAAAGGACGCCACCGTCGATTTTAACCGAATTATCATGGTTTGGGCCAAAAGTCATGAGCAAAGTCAAAACTAATTGGTAAGCATAGTTCAGTATTCACAGTTCATGGAATTGTATAAAATATCAGTACGTATTTTAAAATTTTGTGGAAATATCTTAAAGACCAATGCAGATATTCTCCAACGAAATACAAAATAAGATAAAATAATAAATAATATGATTGAACAATTGAAGTGGTTAGATCAAATAAATCCTCTTTTTATTTTGTTGTAATCTAACCCAATTAAAAATTACCATCACTATATATAATTCTAAGATAATTCTTAATAATAAACTAATTGAACAAAGTCATGTAAAACAATATAATGGTACAATACATCAATCAACGTGCAAAATTCAAACTAAGTAATTTTATATATTTGTATTTTAGTGTTCTAATAATCAGTCAATTTTCTATATTTATATTACAACTTTATAATATCGGTGAGATATGACTTATGAGAGAGAACGTGGACATGGTAAGAAATAGGTGCAGCAGCAAAATGGGAGACTACTGCAAGAAATCCAGACTAATTAATTTTAAATACTTGTATTATAATTTCATAAAAAATATATATTATAATTTATTATAAAGTTTAATGAACTTATGAAATGATGAAGTTGTATTAGTTAATTTTAAATATTTTGTAATGTTCACGTGTTATATTTAAGAGAGATTGAATATAGTTATGAATTTAGATAATGGTAAATATCAAAATAGTTTCGTCAAACCCATTGTTACTAGTTCCCTCGGCCGAACCAAGGTCGTTTCTTATTGTTCCTTCCCATCTCTGTCAGCCGGAACCAACATTATTAAATAAAAGTTAGTTGGATCATTAGATTAAACAAACCATTTATTTATATTGTCATAAATTGATTAATATTAAAAATTAATATCAACGTCTCTAGTAGTATGTTTAAGCCAAAAGTTGTAACTTTAACAAACTCTGATTCTTGATCCTCTTTTACAACAAAAAATAAATAAATAAACTTTGAAGTCAAATTAACGAGCTCAAATATTCACGATGTTTGTTGTAAATTCTTGATCCTCTTGATTAGTGTTTGAATTTTTCGCCGTTGGATCAACATACTCGGTAAAAACCCGGCAAGGGCACTGCTCTCACCAGTGTAGAATTTTTCCATGCAAAGTGTGTTTACTCCTCAACTGTCACACTTTCAGCATTTTCAATTTCTCACCAGAAATACATGTTCCTTTTATGTACAGACAATGAGCTTTTAGAACTTCACAAATCTTCTAACTCGGCCTCACTTAACTTTTCGTGCCTAAAGAAAGAACAGCTTTTGCAGATTTGCTAACTACTAATGAGAAGCCTAACTCCTTCTTCAGCTTTGCGAGAGCAGCTTCTATTTCGTCAATATTTCTCCTCCAGGCTGCTCGTTTTTCCAGCCTGGCTTTCTGTTTTCTCTTCTGAAGGACTGTGAAAGGTTTTTTTGGTCCATCCTCTATGTTGATCGCTTTCTCTAGGAACTCTACGAATTCTTCCCCAATTTCCTGCCAAGAGCAAAACGACATTGTTAGATAGGCTTTGATCTTGCACGGTTCATTCAAATTCAGACGAGCATAAAAATCCTTCTTCATTACTATGTTAACCAAGTTAACCGAATGCCGGTATCAGTTCATTACCGCCAGCTCCTCCCATGGACTCTTTGGCTTCTCTTGTGAAGAGGCGCTTTCTTCCCATTTTCGGAATTCTTCTTGAAGGTCTCTAAATAGGTCCCCTGCAACTCACACTTTTATCTTAGCTGACAGAAAATTAAAGGGCGTTATGGGAACAATGCACAACAAAAGGTTTTTGAAGTCGTGCAAGAGTAAATCAAGACAACGGAAAATGTCTCGAATGAGTGCAATTTTTGTACCTATTTCTATTTGAACATCCCTTACAAATTCACCCGCAGCGTACACGGATTTCAACTATAAGTACATAAACATTTACAGATATTAAACCTCAAAATGGAAGAATTAAATTGAAAAAGGAAAAGATGGGTTTGCATTCAGTTGGAATGGACTAGAGACAACAAACTGTGAGAAAACATTATAAATCTAAAAGAAAAACTCAGCTGCCACCAACTATGAACTATCACCGACACGCCAGAACAAAACACCATCGATGCATGATTGTCAATCAGCATTTTACCTCTGCAGTAACCTAATCAAAATGGTCCAGCTTGAGCTTGCATATGTTTTCCTGGTAAAAAGCAATGGCAGAGATCAGATAAACTCTCTTCGTGTCAAGATTGACCATTGCATCTTCTGGGCCGGGTATTTGCATAGAGATGAAAGCCCTTCTTGCCTCTGGGCCCACTTCACCTCAGAGACACGGAAAAAAAGATAAACTAAAGCAAATGTGAAAATGCCAGAGACACCGCTCTAAACACACCCTCACCATATAAATAGTATGTTTCGGCATGAAGTACTTGAGTTGAGTGGGAACATTTGCAGGGACTAAATAGAAAATTTTCGTTATGCTAAGCCAAATGATAACAGCATAAGATGCTTTGGAATCTACTTTATTCACCAGGGAAGTTGATCTGCATCACCACACCACAACTGTAACATATCAGCAGCAAATAAGATTTTATAAATAGTTTGTATTCAAAACCCGATTTCTATATTTCAACTGCACGTGTCGTTTCGAAATTCATCAACCATCTTAGCATACAAAACTCCAGCAGCTTCACGCACTTTCTTCCTATCCCACAACCCGTCAAGAATCACACTCCACGTCTCCTTATCTGGAGTGCAACCATCAACCATCATCTCCTCCATAACCCGAGCAGCTTTGTGCAGATCCCTCTTGCAAAACCAGTGAACGAGAGATTCATAGGTTCTCGACTCAACCGATATTCCCCTGCTACGCATGCCCAGGTAAAGCTGAAAGGCTCGATTACCATGACCCTCGGCACAAAGACCCTGAACAACCCTATTAAGAACCCGGACATGAAGACCCCACGTCACCCTATTGGGAGTTATTCCCGAGAGAACCATCTCGTCTAGAAAATTTGCTGCTTCCTGAAATTTCCACACATCACAAAACCCGTTTATCACTTTCGAGTACAGGCCAGCGTCGGGTTTCAAATCCTGGAGTTTCATCCGATCAAGAATCCGAACGGCATCAAGAACTTTACCCTCAATGCACAAACCGTGAATTAAGGAACTGTAAGTAATCGAATTTGGAGCCAAAGACTTACGCGTCATCCTCTACAACAACTCAATCGCCTGAGAAGAATGCCCGTTTTTGCAAAGACCGTCGATAATAGAGCTGTATGTGTACACGTTAGGCTCTATGCCTTTTCTCTTCATCTCCTTAAACAACTTTAGTGCATCCTCGAGTTTATTAAGCTTGCAAAGGCCGTGTATGAGGCAACTGTAGGTGACGACTGAAGGCGAGCAGCCTTTTTCCTCCATTTCCATGAGAAGCTCCTTAGCCTCAAGGGTCCTCCCGGCCCGGCAAAGCCCGTTTATCAAAGTCCCGTAAGTGTATGAATCTGGCGTGTGCCCTCGAGCGGGCATCTCACGGAAAATCTTGAAAGCAGACTCCATAGTCCCATTGCTTTTGCAGAGGGCTTTAATCAAAATGTTGAGGGAGGCCACGCTGGCAGGGATACCCTTCTCCCTCATGTTATGGTAGAACCGAAATGCCATTTTCAGATGGCTCTCGTTCACAAGGATGGCTCTCGGGCACAAACGTGACTTTTACAAAGCGCAAAAAAAAAAAAAAAATGATATTTATTCTTTCCATATTCTTTCATATTATATCACTCATAATTATATAAATTCAAATCTCATTAAATATATTTTTTTTTAAATATCAACACTTTTTGTTTTACATTGGATATTCTTACAACGTCAGCATTCGTGGACATATTATTTATAATAAAGATAAATACTTTGTTAGTTAAAAAATCAATGACAAACACAATTCTGTAACAAATTTTAAACTTATAATTATAATTTTATGAACACCTAAAATTCAATATGTATCAAAATCAATGTTGACTCTTGTGGAAAATCGACGTAACTCATTTATATATGTTCCCTACAACATAATACAAATACAAAATACAAACAACATTAATTTTAAGAATATCTTTCAATAATTATTTTACAATATAATTGTATATGTACTAATTTTTTTAAAAACTTGTATAGGGGCCCGTGCCCCTACGGGCCCCTGCCTGGGTCCGCCACTGAATACCTCGTCATAGGCTCTCGGCGTGGGCTGGCAGCCGTAATCCTTCATCTCCCGGAAAATCCTGACAACCTCGAGCGGCTTGTGCACCCTGGCGTAGGCCCTGTAGATGGAGAGAAACACGTCTTCGGGTATGTCGCAGTTCTCCCGCCTCATCCGGAGGAGCATGTCCTCCGCCGGAAAGAACTTGTTCGCGCTAAGGAGGCGCTGGATTATCAGGCCGAACGTGGTCGGGTCGTGGCGGAAGCCGTTGGGGTATTCCAATGTGGCGGCGTCGAATATGGAGATCGCTTTGTCGAGGGCTTTCTCCGAGCGGATTAGGGTCTCGACAAGAGACGGCGTGATTTGCTTCGGCCACTTGATCATCTACTTGCTGCCCATTTCCGGTTGTTTTTCTTTTTGCCGGTGTCAAACCAGGGCAATACAAGTGAAGCGCACACGCCCAAGTGAGGTTTCATCCCAAAACCAATTGGTGATAGGAGGAGTAGCCCACTAGATTTATAAACTAGGCTCATTTATCCTATCAAATCAATGTGGGACAACTCACAAGTGATATTCCCAACAGCCGGCTTCACAGAGGCTTTTCGTGAGGCTTTTCGTCGAGCAGTTGGAGTGCTTGTGTTTGTGTGAAGTTTCTAGAAGAAGAAGACGAAGCTTCTTGAATTGGAGGACGGATGGTTGTTTGATGTAAACGTAAAAAAAAAAAAAAAAAAGAGATGAAATTGAATTGAGAACGGAGCCAATGCCGTCGTGCGATGGGGGTTGCCGGCCGAGAACGGCTACCGGTTGCTTGTCGTCTACACTTATTGCGAGCTTTTCAGTCCAGGTATTGAATGGGAGGGAAATAACCAGATGTGGGTTGGGCTTTTGAGGCCTTGGTGCCTCTGCATTCTTCTGCAGGCCCATTAAAAACTTGACTTAACAACAAGATGGGCTTTAACATTTTCCCCAAATTTATCATGAGAAAATGACCGGTCTTCAACTATTTTTGGTAATCCAGCTTATAAACAAAATGACAACTGATAAATTAATTGATAGTTTATGAATAAACTTTAAGTTCATGGCTAACAGTTTATAGCTGAAAAGTTAGTTGACGTGATGCAAGTGTAATAAAATCATATCATAAGTCAACAAAAATGATATATTTGAAAAGCTACTCAAATAAGTTATAAATCAGTTTATGATGTTTGCCAAACACTATTCCTTTTACGTCCATATTTACATTTTATTTTTCTTATTATGCATGTTTTTAGGACATATTACGTTAAGTTAAAATTTGTATAGGATTTATGTATGCCATAAAAAAGCAACCGATAAAAGTTATTAAGAGCAAGGATCCCACAAAATAATTAAAACACCATATGAAAATATATCTAATCAAGTATCTCTCATAATAATATTTATCATATTAATAAGTAAACGTATATTTTATTTTTTAAATAAAAATATAATTTAAAAAAAAAATTATAGTGAGAGGGTCGAACTGGGTTGACTTGGTCGAGTTGATGCCCGGATCGGTTGGGTTGTCCAAATTTATTGTCACCCGGTCCGAATCACTCATCTGGATCGATCCCGGCTCCGCGATGGCTGAGTCTCGGTTCAACCCGCCTTGCGGGTTCTTTTTTCTTATATAAAAAATGATAGACTCTGTATTAATAAATACAAGTATTTAAAGACTAAAAAATCCAAATACAACCAAATCAATCAACTACTAAGTTGAATCTAAAAGGAGAATTATTTAATAGTAGCCTAAAGCCGAAAACACAAAACACAAATTAAAACAAACTATTAAAATACTCACACAAGTGAAAAATACAAACTCCAATATTGAAAAATAATAAACCACAAAAAAAAAAGTACAAACACATAAAATACATACTAAAAGTAAAATACAATAAAACATTCTCTCTTCCAGCTACATCGTACCCACACTAAAAACAAACTCTAAGTCGCCAACAACTGTCCTCTGTTGTGTCCATTTTTGTTGCGATTTTCGTTATTGTTTTATCATTCTTTTTCCCCCATTTTAGGTCTTTAAGTTGGTTTTTAGTTCGTTTTGTGTTTTATTATGTATTTTGTTCCATTTTGGTTTTCTTTGTGTTTTTCGTATGTTTTTCCCGTTTTTCTTCTTGTTTTTCGTGTGCAGGTCGAAGGCACCATGAGCGAAATACATAGACCGGGCAATCATGGTTATGTAGATAGACTCGTTGGCTACACATAGGAGAAAATGAAATTTTATTTCGAGTTCGGATTAATCCAGACGGAACCAAAACGTGAAGCCGTGCAAGTTACCGATCCTTTAAAGGTTGGAAATCCCACATAATTTGTACTCTAGGCAAAAGTGTGGTTTGCAAGCATCATTGGATAGAGGGGTTCGTTAGCTACGCGTAGGAAAAAATGGAACTCAATTCCGAGTTAGGACGAGCCCAAACGAGCCAAAACCGTGAAGTAGCGCAGTGCAGTTTTTTCTTAGCGGAGCTAAGATACCTTAGCGGCGCTAACCTGGCTGGAAGACAGCTGATACCTCATTTTCTGGCCTATTTTCATGGTGGTTGAGAGTGGGGGAAGACTTGGGACCGAATTTCCAGCCTAAATATATGCTAATAATGCTAAGGAAGATGATCTACTCACTCTCTTCAAGTCTCTATATATCTATCATCATCCAACATCATTTGGCAACCCATAATTCACCATTTTTTTCACCTTCCATGCATGCTTGAACCAAGAGGGGTTCTTTCCCTCTTCCCTCTTCATTTTCTTCTTCTTTTTATTTTCTTTTCTTTTTATTGTATGTTGTATTTGGGAGGAAGCTTATATTGGAACTCAACACTTGAACATTGATTGTAAGTTCTTCTCATTTTAATTCATGTATAATGGTTGAATTGAGATTATTTTTAATTTGTGCTGAATTTATATTTCATAGCTAAATCTCTTGCTAGGGATAATGAATGAATATTTGATTTCGTATGTGATTATCGTGTTCGTTGATTGTTCACTTTGTATGCGTTAGTTTTAAATTCGGTTTTTGATTTTAACTTTGGAATGACATATTGTTGAAAAGTGACAATTCAACCTTGCAATTGATTTCTAAGTATTGAAGAGTGACACTTCAATGTTAAAACTTGTTTTCAAATTGAATATAATGTGTTTTTTAGTGACGATCATGATCCGAATAGACTAGACGACTAACAATCCTATAGTCTATTTTAATTGACTCTTGAACCAAAAGGGGAAAGGTCAATCGATCGATACTCATACAAAACAGACATAATCCGAAAGGTATTGTCTATGTGTTAAACAACTCGTTAATTTACCGTTAATATTTATTCTCATAATCCGAAAGGTATTGAGGATGAAACTCTAAACGTGTAGGTGACTCGAATTCTTTAACCGAACAATCACGAGCCGATGATTGCATTTCAATTCAAAATATTTATTCCCGATTCTCTAGCATCTTTATCTTTGTGTCATTTATATTAGTTAGATTATTGTTTTATGTTATTATTTTAGTTAATCATTTTCCAATCCTATCAAGATTAGAATGTTTAGGTTTTATTTTCCATTCTTGTGATTTCGACACCAATACTAGATTCCGAATAGTCTTCCTCGAGAGATCGACCCGGGAAACGAATCATTCGATTCGGTGCTCGGTAAAATAAAAATAATTCGTCTACAACAAATTTGACGCCGTTGCCGGGGAAGGCAAGTAGGACATTTGGTCTTGGTGTTGATCTTATTTTCCGTGTTTCTCTTATTTTTGTGATATTTGCTTAATTTTAATGTTTCTCTTGATTTTGTTATTTTTCATTTCTATTGTTTTTATTTTTTTTATTTTTATTAAATCATAAAAAAAATATTATATATATATATATATATATATATATATTTCTTGTTCTCGTGTGCCTTGGTTGTTTGCTTTTCTTGTGCGAGGTGTTTTACTTGAGGAGCTCCGATGGACCCGTATGGCTATTCTTATGCTGGAACTCATCTTGTGGATACCCCGACAACGACCAAGAGAAGATGCACTCATATGGAGGGCCGCCCTATCCGTATCCGAACTACTCAAATTCCTATTGGTATGACGAATACTCGACATCTCAAGAGTATGGCCCGAGCCATTCTTACACGACATCTCAAGGCGGATACGATTCTTACACTTCAAATCACTACAAGGCGCCTTATTACCAACCTTCATCTCCCGACTATCGCCAAGAGGTTTTGACGAACACTCAAGAGGTACTTGCGAGCCTCCTATCAATCATAGAGGAGTTTCATAATTGGAAAATCATTCCCGTTCCATCCGTACTTCAAACTCAACTCACAAAGTTCGACTCTACCATAGTTGCTTTCCTCAACTTGGACACATCTCATATTCCGCTTGGTAGATATTCTTCTCTATCGGTGAAAGTGTGTCGAGAAAGTGCACGGTTAGAGGGCGAATTTTGAGCTATGGTGGAACAGTTTGCTTCTCTCAAAGAGGCGGGCCTCACTCTCGTTTATGATGGAACAAAATCTCTCGACACGAGTGAGGACATCGACGATTTGTATGTTAGAAGAATCTCCTCTCATGACGATCCGGGATTACAAACCACGTCAAACCTACATTTCAGTGATGGTGCGATCACTATCGATGAAAGCAAGTGTGTGGATTCGAAGGAAGATACGGTGCATGGTGTGAGGAATAATTCATTGGAGGATTCGCTTATCCGGAGTGAAGCTGAAGGGGCTCGAGATGATGATTGTGAGGAGAAGATAGTTCATGATGTCGTGGATGAGGTCGAGTCATTATGTGAGGTCATTGACCCAGAGAGTGCATTGATGAATGACTCGACTCAAGATGTTGAGTACACGCCCGAGATGGAGTCGATGATGACCGAGATGAATTCGATATGCTCTACAGACATGTTCATAATTCCGAAGGTCGATCATAGCATGGTACGTAAACAATTACATTTTCTCTTGATAGGTGTTGATATACGTGCTCGAACTCACAAGAACGTGGCCACGAGAGTCTACTTTGCCCGCCTCTGTTCCGTACTACCAACGAGACTACTGTTGGAGAATACAAAGGCATGGCATGATCGTCACTTCTTTTTGGACCCTGGTTGATTTGTACAGGTTTCGTCAAGCTAATGATGTTAAACAAGCGCTTCTTGGGAGGCAACCCAAGTTTCATTTATTGCTTTCTTGTGTGTTTCGTTTATGCTTTTTATTTTATTTTTGAATAATTGCAGTTTGGGAGTTTGGTGGTTTTATTAGCAGGAAGTATCGAGGATCGGTTGATAATGGGCGAACGGTTTGCACGTAGATGCTTATTTCATCGAGGCTACTTCGATTTGCACACTCTTTTCTTTTTCTTGTTTAAA